TTCGCCGCTTCGCCCTCCCCTGCCCATGTCGGCCCGACACCGACGCCGCGCGCGCGCTCGGCCAAGGCAGCAAGGGCACAGGAAGAAGAGATCGGCATTCCTGCAGTAGACGGGGAACGTCGACCAGCTTGGTAAAAGGGGGAAATCTTCGACATCGCAGGTCGCGAAGGCGGCGGCGGCCGCGGCAGCTGCCCCCCAGATCCAGCGCCAGCCTCTTCTCGACAGATTGGCACCCATGCGCCTCCAGCTCCTTGTCCTCCACGCAACCGCACGTCGTTGCGCCTAGGAGGTGCCCCCGGCTGCCACGGCACCTCCGCGGCGGGCGGGGGCCAGTGTCCGCCCCAGACCTTAGGGGGACCTCCCCCTTGAGCTGGCTGCCCTTCGGGCCCTTCGCGTCGCCCGTCTGGCGCCTCCTGAGCTCCGCGCCTACGCGCCCCTCCCTCTGGTGCTCCACCTTCGAGTGCGTCGCGGCCTCCGAGATCAACCAGTTCGGCGCGACGTCCACCGCGGAGCCTGGCGCCACCACCGGGCGGAGGCGAGCCGCTCCCACGCTGTCGCGCGTGCGGCTCTCGCATACGTAGGCAGGTCGGCCTCCACCTGGTCGTCGGAGTTCAGCTTCGCGTAGAGGCTGATGTCGGCCTTGCACTCCCCGAACGCAAGGTCCACTGCGGTGGCCATCGCCCACAAGGACTGCCACTCTTCGCCTCGTCTGGAGCCCACGTGCTGCTGGGCCTTGGAGACCTGGAAATGGGCACCAACACCAACATAAGGGGACTGCCTCCACAGGGGTAAGATGATCCTAGATTTCGGCGTTGGTGGTTATATTTCGGTCACCTTGCAAGTCAGAATATTACCACTGTCACCGAGATCGGGATCCTCTTCCCTCGGTGGAGGCACACCGCCGATATTGGCATTGGTGTCAACCTCTAGGCCTGCGAGGGTCAGCCAATTTCGCACCGACGTGGACCCCAAGGCCCTGATGTTCCTGTAGATCTCGTCGCCTGCCCTCTGGAAGTCTAGAGGGAGACTGTAGGCCCAGCCTTCGACGGACGTCGATGCCACGAGCCCGCTGTCCACGAAGCCGCCCGTGAAGTGGGCCGCCGGCGCCTCGAAGCCCTTCAGCCCCGCCTTGACGCTATCCACGTCGGGCGCCCTGACTGAGGCCTCACCAGCGTAGCCGCGGGCCACCAGCGCCGCCTTCACGCCCGGGTCGAGCAGCCCCGCCTGGTCCCGCTGGTGGACCCGCTGCCGGGACTTCGCGCCCCACTACGGATCGCCCGCGCTCGTGGCCGCGAAGCCCTCCAGCTCCGCCCTGACGGCCGCGGCGCAGACGCTGGCACCCGATGGAGCCGCAGGGGCCGCAGGCCCCGCGCTCGCCGGGCGCGGCGTGCCTCCGCCGCGGCCGCGAGGGTCGGGTTCGCAGTGTCCGCGGCCAGACATGGCGCCAAGCCCTGCACGGGCTGCGCGGCGAGCAGGGCAGCAGCGGGCGGCCCGCCTTGGGTGGCCGAGATCGGCCCTGGCAGCCCGCCACCTGCGCCAACGAAGGCGTGGCAGGCGGCGAGCCCGCCGTCGGGCGCCGCCGCGGGGCCTGATGCCCACGTGCCCGGCGCGGCGGCGGGTGGTGGCCCGATGCCAAAGTGCGGCGGGGGCGGCATGCCCAGGCCACCGTCGGCGACTGCATCCGCTGGAACCTCCGAGGCGGCGGCGGGGGGCGCCAACTTGGCCAGCTGCAGCGCGGCGAGCTGGGCCCTCAGGCGTTCGAGCTCGTCGGTGTCGCCGTGGCGTCGGCAGCACCAGCTCCAGAGGCCCGCACGCCACAGGGTGAGGCTGGTCCCGACGCAGGCTGCGAGGACGGCCAGGCCCAAGCGCTGCACCGCGACGCGCCCTCAGTCGGCCTTCAGGGCTCTTTTCGCGAGGAAGCCGACCGACAACAGCGTGGCGCCCGCCCAGCCGAGCGCCCACAACCTGCTGGGGCCTCTGGAAGTGGCACCTGTCCCCTCGGGCTCCGAAGGCGCTGGAGAAGGAACCATGTTCGTGCAACGCTGCGGGGGCCAAGCCCCAAAGACTTTGTTAGAATAAAAACATGACGCCTCGGTTTGAGCCCAGAGAAAACTACGAGGGGATATCTGCTCTCACATCACATTAAGTGACAATCAGCCCCCTCATTCTCCAATCAGAATCATCATCATCAGCAACAGCAGCATCAGCATCAGCATCAGCATCAACATCATTATCACCATCTGTACCATCATCATCATCATCATCGTCATCATCAGCACCAGCAGCAGAATCATCACCATCATCATAGTCCTCATTATCATCATACTGATCCTCCTCCTCATCATCATCAGAAGCAGCATCATCATCATGATTATCATCATCATCATCATCATCATCATCATCATCATCATCATCATCATCATCGCCCACGCCCTCTCTTCCCCCACTCCCGCTGTCCCTCCCCCATCAGCATCATCATCATAACCACCAGCATCAGCATCATCAGCATCATCATCACCTGTATCATCATCATCCTCCTCATCGTCATCAACATTACAATCATCATCGTCAGAATCATCATCATCATCATCATCAACATAACCCTCATCATCAGCAGCATCACAATCATCACAATCGTCATTATCGTCATCATCACCGCCACCACCACCATCATCACCATCATGGCCATCATCACCATCATCACAATGATCAGAACCCTCCTCCTCATCATCGTCCTTATCAATGTCACAATCATCATCATCATCATCATCATCATCATCATCATCATCATCATCACAATCGTCACAATCCTCATCAACATTATAAGGGTCATCCTCTTCCTCCTGCTCACCATCATTATCAGCAGCAGCAGCATCATCTTCATCATCGCTATTATGATCACAGGCGTCATAATCATCAGCATCAGCATCACCATCACCATCACAACAATATTCATCCTCCTCATCCTCCTCCGCATCATCATCATCACCTGTATCATCATTATCATCATCATCATTACCATCATCGTCATCATCATCATTGTCATCATACTGACCCTCCTCCTCATCATCACCCACCGTCCTCTTCCCCCTCTCACTCTCCCTCCCCCATGATCATAATCATCATCAGTATCATTATCGTTATGATGATTAGAATTTTATGTTTATCATCATCATGATCGTCATTAGCAGCATCATCATCACCATCATCATCATCATCATCATCATCATCAGCAATATCATCATCACCATCGTCAGAATCAGCATCACCATTTTCATCACAATCATCATCATCAGCAGCGACAGCAGCATCCCCATCATAACCACCACCATCATCATCATCATCATCATCATCATCATCATCATCCTCATCATCCTCATCATCATCATCATCATCATCATCATCATCATCATCATCATCATCATCATCAGCATCAGCATCAGCATCATCATCATCATCATCATCATCATAATCCGCCGACCCCTTGGGGTCATCGGCGCGTGAGATGCTTCCCCCTCCCCAAACCCCTCCCCCCTGGGCCCGGCCCGGTCAGCCGGCCCCGTCTGAACGCGCCACGGGCCTCACGACGGGCCATGAGGGCCCCAAGAGGCCAACAAGATGGTCCAAGAGGGTCCCGAGTCGCCGATGGATCGTTCCAAGACGCCCAAGATGGCCTCCAGACGGCCCAAGAGGCCCCCGAGACGCCCCAAGAGGCCCCCAAGAGGCGCCCCAAGAGGGTCCCCAGAAGCAAAAACCGTCCCATTCCCTTAGGGAAACGCATAATTTTAGCACATTCGCCTCTTGGGCTTTCACAACGTCAAAGACGGCCCAAGAGGACTCCAAGATCGCCACAAGACGGCCCAGGAAGCCCCGAAGAAGGCTCCAAGACGGCCCAAGAGGGCCCCACGACAGCCCCCCGAAGACGGCTCCAGGAGGGGACCCAGGTAGGGGACCCGAACGGAAATTTCGAGCCCTCGGCCCCAGGAAGCCTCCAGGAGGCCCCAAGAGGCCCCCAAGAAGCCCCCAAGAGGCTCCAAGGGGCCCACCAGAAGCCCAAAAGAGGCCTCACGAGGCCCCAAAGCGGCCTCCAAAAGGCTCCAAAAGTGCTGCCAGTAGGCCCCCACCAGGAGCCCCCCAAGGGGTCGGCAGTGCGGGGTAAGCCCAAGAATCCTCACAATCGTCATCATCATCGCCACCACCACCAACAGCAGCAGCATCATCATCATCATCATCATCATCATCATCATCATCATCATCATCATCATCATCATCAGCATCAGCATCAGCATCAGCATCAGCATCAGCATCAGCATCAGCATCATCATCATCACCATCACCATCACCATCACTATCACCATCACCATCACCATCACCATCATCATCAGCATCATCATCATCATCAACATCATCATCAGAATCATCATCATCATCATCATCATCATCATCGTCATCATCATCATCATCATCATCATCATCATCATCATCATCATCATAATGGTCATCATCATCATCATCATCAGCATCATCATCATTAGCATCATCATCATCACCATCACCATCACCATCACCATCATCATCATCACCATCGTCATCATCATCATCATCATCATCATCATCATCATCATCATCATTAGCATCGTAATCATCATCACCATCACCATCATCATCACCAGTACCATCGAAATTATCATGTTCCTCCTCCTCCTCATCATCATCCTCATCATCACCATCATCATCAGCAGCATCATCAATTATCATCATCAGCATCACCATCATCGTCATCATCATCGTCATCATCAACGTTATCATTAACATCAGCATCATCATCATCATTGTCATCAGAATCATTCTCACCAGTAGCATCATCATCATCGTCATCGTCATCATCGTCATCATCATCAGCATCATCACCATCATCATAACCCACGTCCTCCCCGCCCCCCTCCCGCCCTCCCTTCCCGCACTCCCTCCCTGCCCCCTCGGTCAGACGGGCCCGCGGCCTGCCGAGCCGGTTCCAGAGCCGGTTCATGTCCACGTCGACGCAGACGCACGGGAGGCCCTCCCTCTCGGCCGCCTCCTCGGCCGCGCTGAACTCGGCGGGGCCGCGGGCGTTCTCCCCGGGCCCCAGCGCAGAAGGGACCGCCCCAGCGAAAAAGCGCGCGGCTGGGCGGAGGAGGGGGGCCAGGAGGGGGGGAGTGGGGAGGGGAAGGGGGGGGGGGAGGGGGGGGAGGGGAAGTGAGGAGCGGGGACAGGAGGGGGGAGTCAGAAGGGAGAGGGGGGGGCCAGGAAGGGGGAGTGAGGAGGGGGAGAGGGAGGAACGGGGGAAGAAAGCGGCGGCGGCGGAGGCAGAGGCACTGACCACATGAACAGCGGCATTGGCAGCGGCAGCGGCAGCGGCAACCGCAATACCTGCAAGCAACAACGTCTAGACCGAAAGCGAAGTCGGAGCGACGGGAACAGTCGTCCGAAACGGGCTCGTTCACTGAGAAACGAAAACATACCTACCCAACGTATCAGGGGAACATTATTTGAAACCGCCCTTAAAAAATAATGCTCCCAACAATGCGACATTGGTTACCTTGGGATTCCAGTGACACAAGCGCGCCACGCATAGGGTATCCTTAAGCAGGCCAATCGAGGCAACTCTGGTTCGCAAACAGCACTGAGGCAGCACGCTCGCACTCCAAAAGAAGGAAAGAAATGGGCACCTCTGCACCGACATCAACGCCTAACAAACCGATGATGCCGTACAAGATTCCGATGCCGGAGAAGAACGCGGAGCAGCCCTGAGGAGCAACGAAACTCGACCCCGCCTCTGCCAGCGTCCCGCAAGCCCAGCCGACCGCCGACTCGAACTGGTTCGTACGATCGTGGCCACCTTGCAACAGCAACCCCGTGCAACCCACGTGAAGTAATCGTGTTGTAGAGTTTAACAATGTCCAGAGAAGTAGAGGCTAATCATAATGACGACGAGACGGGAATCGAGAAAAAGAGAGAGATAGAGAGAGAGAGAGAGAGTCCAAATAACTTGTCGAAGAACCCAACAATTTCTAAACGCGTGGAAACTATCAACAGGACCGCTCAACACACAAGAGGTCGTTTGGGGGGTCTGCAGTACCCCTGACAGCTTCGCCAGAACCCTGTCGCTGGGGCCTTCGGTGGAGCTCCCTACTGGGCCACACAACGTTGTGAGGGATGCGTCGACATGAACCCGAGGCGCCATGCGAACCCTGCCACTGGGGCCTTCGGTGAAGCTCCCTCCGGGGCCACGAAACCTGCGAGAGGTGCGACGAAATACACCCGAGGCGTCATGCGAAGCCTGCCATTGGGGCCTTCGGTAGAGCCCCCTTCAGGGCCACGGAACATGTGAGAGGTGCACCGAACTGAAGCAGGAAACCATGCGGACCCTGCTACTTGGGCCTTCGGCGGAGCTCCCTTACAGGGCCAGCCACGAAACATGTGAGGGGTGCGCCGAAATGGGGCGCAAGGACCCTGCCACTGGAACCTTCGGTGGAGCCCCTTTCTGAGGCCACGAAACGCGTGAGGGGGCCCCGAAAGGAGACGGGAAACCATGCGAACTCTGCCATTGGGTCCCTCGGTGGAGCTCCCTACTGGGCCACGAAACATGTGAGAGGTGCGCCGAAATGGGGCAGATAAGCATGCGGATCCTGCAATTGGAGCCTTCGGATGAGCCTCCTATAGGCCACAAAACGTGTGATGGGCGCGGCGACATGCAGTCGAGACACCATGCGAACCCTGCCACTGGGGCCTTCGGTAGAGCTCCGTATAGGCTACGAAATGCTGTGATGGATGCGACGAAGTCATGATAGTGATGGCGATGGCGATGGCGATGGCCATGGTGATGGCGATGGCGATGCTGATGACGATGATGTTGATGATGGTGATGATGATGATGACGACGACGATGATGATACTGATGGTGATGATGCTGATGATCACAATGGTGATGACAATGATGATGATGATGATGATGATGATGATGATGACGATGATGATGACGATGATGCTGATGATGATAATGATGACGGTGATGCTGATGCTGACGATGATGATCATGACGATGATAATGAACATGGTGATGATAATTATGATGATGATGATGGTGATGATGATGATGATGATGATGATGATGATGATGATGATGATGATGATGATGATGATGATGATTATGATGGTGGTGGTGGAGGTGATGATGAGTGGTGATGATGGTGGTGGTGGGGGTTATCGGAAGAAGGAGGAGGAAAATTAGGAGGAAGGTGAGGGAGGAGTGAGGCGGAAAAGGAGGAGGAGGGGGAGGAGGAGAAGGCGGGGCGCGGCGCTGCGAATGCACAACAAGGACCCAACATTCAGGAAGGCTGGTAAAGTGACAAGGGAAGGGACAGAGAGGGGGGAGAGCGAGAGCGAGGGCGAGAGGAACAAGAAGAATATGCTGGAGAAAGCAGCCCCAGGAGATGATGAGATGCTGGGGCCCAGAGGGTACGCCCAATCAAATGACTAAGCACCCGGTTCACAATAAATACTACAACTGCGTTTGACAGCGCACACACACACACCCCTAACACTGCGTGTTTGCACCCTCGATGCGTGTATATCTATATATATATATATACATACATATGCATATATACAAGTGTATATATAGTATACGTGGTACCATATACGATAGATTTGCAGTGCAATGGATGTGGTGAGCGCTACGTAGTGTTATTGGTTTGTGCGCGCGCATGAGTTGTCAATCCCCGTTCTCGCGCATTCACCCCATACGCCCACCCTCAACCTGTGTTTCAAAACACATGGGGCCGCGATTGCGATGAATGCTCTGGCACATCTCTGCGGCGACGCTGCGGCAAGCTGGTTTGGCACGACCGATGCGGCCGCGATGGCGCAAACAGCGGGCAGCTTCCCAGCGCGTCTCAAAGGCCGCGCTGGCGCGCGGGCACTTCAGAGCGGGCCGGTGACCTGGGCTGGAACGGTATCATAATGACGTCGACAATGGCGGCGACCATGATGATAATAGCGATGGTGGCGGCGATGATGACGATGACGACGACGAGGACAATGACGGCGCCGATGCAAGTGGCGACGATGACGACGATGATGTCCATGTCTCGGTGATGAAGGTACTTGAGTGATGATGGTGGCACTGACAGGGAGTGCCGACGACGATGACGTGACGCGGCGGCGCTGGTGCGGACGATGACGAAGAAGTGCGCACGCGCGGAAATCCAATTCGCCAGCCCAACGGACCAGAGGCGTGCTAAGATCTCCGGTAACTACTAACAATATTTCTAATTCGCGCGCGCGGGGCGGCCCCTGGGGGCCCCCGGACGAAAAGTACCCCGGCCGATCCCTGGCTGACCCCCGGGCGATCCCCAGGGGGGAGGCTATTTTTCGCCACCCCTCACGAGGATCGTGGCCTCCGAGGGGGTGGCTGCAATCGACTACCCCCTAATCCTGACAATATCTTGGTTGAAAAACTTCATAAGAAGAGCTCCGTTCGAACATGCTTCGAGAATCAATGAGATTGAAAGGATTTCGACACGCGCGCGTGGCGGCGCGCGCGTGTGGCCAGCATGTCATTCGATACGGATTCGCGCACCGGGCGCCTGCTGGATCAACGCGGACGCACCCTGTGGTAAGATGAGAATGCGGGTTGTGGGTGAGATTGCTAAAAAATATGTTGATGATTTCCATATGCTTTCAGCAAATACACGCGGGCAGCTAAAACGCAAGATTCGTGATGGGTAACCCACATGCTTCAATGCGCTTGAGCTGGAACACTTGCATAACTGGTGTTTGGTATGATTTCGGCATGAAGGCGCGCGTGTGGACTTTGTGTTATTTCCTGGCAGGGGCTCCTGACAAACAATATGTTGCGAGAAACGAGTGCGCGCGCGTAATATCATGTGGCAGGGCGGCAGGGAGGGCGATAATGGGTTGGCTGGAAAATATGAGTTCATATGAAAAATGAAGCAGAATCATATAGAATGTGCATTGTCCCACGGGATAGGGAGTTGATAACCGTGGGGGGGATGGTGGCAGACTTTATGCTTCTTTGGGCGAAGAACTCCATTTGCCACTAATGAGCTGTCAACTCCAATGCTCGCGCAAACATCCCACCCTCCCACCCGCAACTGGCTTGGCAAAACCCATTCGGCCACGGTTGCAGTTCCCGCCTCAATCTTGCCAGCGCATCTGTACGGTCGCACTGGCGCGCGCACGCTCTCGCGCAGATCGGCCACTTGGTTTGGCACAACTGGTGCGGCCACGATGGCGCTTACCGGCGGGAACCCCCCAGCACGTCTCAAAAGCTGTGCTGGCGCGCGGGCACTTCTGTGGGTCGGTGACTCGGGCGGGCGCGATACCGTGATGACCTCGCCAACGGCGGCGACGATTATGATAATAGCGATGTTGATTGCGACCCTGACGATGACGACGGCAAGGCCAATGACGGCGCCGATGCTGATGATGACGATGACGGTGATGATGTCCACATGTCAGTGATGACAGTGATTACGATGATGATGGCGGCAATGGAGGTGATTGACGATGACGATACCGGCGGTGATGTGATGGCGCAGAAGAGGGTGATGAGAAAGTGCGCGCGCAGATGTTCAATGAATCCTGCAGCTTTGCTCTGAACAAAACTATTGGGTGTGACTGTTGAAGAGCTATGTCTTGAAATGCTGCGAAAACCAATGGCTCTGGAAAGATTTTGGCACGTGCGCGTTGCAGCGCGCGCATGCGGCCCGCATGGTATTATTTGATACGGATTCGTGCACTGGGCGCATGCTAGATCAACGCGGATGCACGGCGTGGTGGGATGCTAATGCGGTTTCCAGACAAGAGTGCTAGAATCCAATATTGTCTTGTGATTTCAGCAAATGCGCGCAGGCAGATAATGTGTAAGTTGGTGGATTGAAAGCAAATGGGTTCAAACGCTTGCAAAACCAATGTGCCTGGTATGATTTCTACACGTGCGCGCGCGTGTGGGCTTTGCGGTATTCGCTGCGATGGATCCGTCGAAATCGGCGTTAAGATGAAAGAAAGTGCGCGCATCGTATTTGTTTGACAGAGATGAAGGGCGCATCAAATCCGGATCAGCCGGCGCTGTGTGACTTCATATGCAAGATGAGCGATGAGGCAGAACCAGGTGTTCTGTACTATCCCAGGGGGGCGAGAAGTCCAGGCTCGGGAGGTCGGTAGAGTGTCGTTGCTCACCTCGACACGAGAATCCACGTGGTGCAAGACATGTGGTGCAGCATCTGTGATGCAAGCTGTGCTGCAAACTATACGGCACTTTTGATTCGCGGGTCGAGAGCGCACCTCCTCCGGTCGAAGCTCAGCGGGCCGCGCGAAGCTTGTCTTGGGCAGAGATAGGGGGAGGAAAAAGGGGGCGCAGCCTCAGAACTAGGCCGGGAGGAGGCAAACTATACGGCACACGCTGTGTGATGCAGCCTACTGCAGGTTCGTGCCGTATCGACCCTGGCGTTGGTTCCTGACACCGCGCTGGATCGTTCAACCTTGAACGATCGGCCGTCTCCGCAACGTCCGATCGTTCAACATCGACCGATTCTGGGCTGCCGTCGGCGTTCAACGTTGAACGTCGGCGGCGGGGTCGCCGCCAGTCGACACGACGCGAACCTACCGTACGTGGTGCAGCCTGTGTGGTGCAGGCTGCGTGGTGCACTCTGCAGCGGACCCCACGCGGGCGCCCAGGGGCGCCCACCGGGCGAAGCCTCGGCGAACCCAGCCAGCGCACGGGGCGCCCACGAGGCGCCCACGGGCACCCACCAGGCGAAACCTCGGCGGACCCAGCCAGCGCGCGGGGCGCCCACGAGGCGCCCACGGGCACCCACCAGGCGAAGCCTCGGCGGACCCAGCCAGCGCGCGGGGCGCCCACGAGGCGCCCACGGGCACCCACCAGGCGAAACCTCGGCGGACCCAGCCAGCGCACGGGGCGCCCACGAGGCGTCTGTGGGCGCCAACCAGACGAAACCTAAGCGGGCCCAGCCAGCGCGCGGGGCTCCCAGGAGGCGCCCAGGGCGGCCCACCAGGCGAAACCCCAGTTGACCAATCGAGTTTCTCACCTGGAGATTCAAGAACCCCTAAGTGCAAGCACTGCTTGGGGAAGATTCTCGCCATGGCGCAGCTTCGAAAAGACGCTGCGACGCGACTGCGAGAGCGGGGACAACTGCACGCGGGCACAAGACCGAGCGAGGCCCTGCGCTTATCCTGGCCACTGCCTCCTCCTCCTCCTCCTCCTCCTCCTCCTCCTCCTCCTCCTCCTCCTCCTCCTCCTCCTCCTCCTCCGCATCCTACTCCTCCTCCTCCTCCTCCTCCTCCTCCTCCTCCTCCTCCTCCTCCTCCTCCTGCTCCACGCTGGTCTGCCACACGCTCCGATCTTGGGTCTGGCCCGCGCCACGCGTTCCAAACGCCCTTCGCCCGCCTGGCAGAGCCGCCTGCAGAGGGTCCTGCGAGGGTAGCTGTCGGCCAGCACCTTGAAGGATACCTTCGTGGGCACCGACCTCGGCTTTTTGCGCCAACCCCACCATCACCACATCAATTGGCGAGATGCAGATACGGCCCCCCTTTCCAAAGTAATACAAGCCCCTCCTCCTCATCCTCCTCATCCTCCTCCTCCTGCTTCCTCCTCCTCCTGCTCCTCTTCCTCCCTCCTCCTCCTCCTCCTCCCCTCCTCCTCCTCCTCCTCCTCCTCCTCCTCCTCCTCCCTCCTCCTCCTCCTCCTCCTCCTCCTCCTCCTCCTCCTCCTCCTCCGTCTCCTTCTCCTCTCTCCTCCTCCTCCTCCTCCTCCTCCTCCTCCTCCTCCTCCTCCTCCTCCTCCTCCTCCTCCTCGTATCCCTTTCCCTGAGAAAGCCAACATATCCTACCAGCCCTCTGGGCGTAGGTGGTGTAGGGAGCTTCCTCTTCCAACCTCATTATTCCCATTCGGGGAGGGGTTTACCCCCCTACCCCATCCCCTGGACCTGGACGGGGGTGGTCGCGAGGGGGTGGAGCGTCTAAGGTGGCCCAAGATGGCTTCAAGAGAGCATCGGAGAGGCCAAGATGACCTCCAAGATGGCTCAAGATAGCGCAAGATGCGTCAAGATGGTTCTCAAGATGCTCCAAGAAACCCGAAGAACGCTCCAAGACGGCTCCAAGAGGCCTCCGAGACTCTCAATGAGGCTTCCAAGGAGCCAACATCCTTCGAAAATCTAAGGGAAATCCATGATGGGTGCTGTCTCGCCTTTTCGCGTCCGATGGCCATCCGAGGCCTCAAGATGGCTCCAAGATGGCCCAAGAGGGCCCCAAGAGGGGCCCCAGAGAGGCCCAAGACGGCCCCAAGAGCGCCCAAGAGCGCTCCAAGAGCGCCCCAAGAGGGGTTCAGGAGGCGATGTTTGGCGTTCTGGAAAGGCAGCGCTAATTAAGGACCCCCCTTTTTGATCGATCTCCTCCAATATGGCCCCAAGAGTGCCCCAAAAGCTCCCAAGAGCGTCCCACGAGGGCCCCAAGAGGCGTCCAGACTGCCCCAAGAGGCCTCCACGAGGCTCCCAAGAGACCCCCGAGAGACCCCCAAGAGGCTTCAAGAGGACTCCCGAAGCACCCAAGATGCCCCCCAGACGCTCCAAGAGGCCTCCAAAACAACTCCCAAGGGACACCCTAGGAGGTTTTTATGTGCGTCATGTTTTTTGTTTGTCCTCCTCATCCCTCTCCTCCTCCTCCTCCTTCTCCTCCTTGTCCGCCTCCTCCTCCTTTCCCTCTACTTTCTCAGCCTCACTCCCTCCCCCTCCTCCTCCTCCTCCTCCTCCTCCTCCTCCTCCTCCTCCTCCTCCTCCTCCTCCTCCTCCTTGTTCACTTCCTCCTCCTCCTCCTCCGCCCCCCCCCCCGCGGCGAAAGCAGCGGCGACAGAGTCGATGACGACGAAGACGAAGACGACGACGACGACGACGGCGGCAGCGGCGGCGGGAAAGAGGGGCAGAAGTCGGAGCAGCAGCACCACCACCACCAGCGGTACCAGCAACAGCAACAGCACCAACAGCAGCACCCGCACCATTCGCTACCAGAGATCTCCCAATTCACCGTTGTTGCCCACGCTGTTTCACTGCGCGCGTCTCTTCATCCCTTCTCCCGTCAGCTTGCCTGGACACCGTTCCTGGATGCGTCCAGAAGTAGACCTTCAGCTGGCTACAAGAAGGCAAGACGCATAGAACAGCACTCGGCTCCAAGTCGAACTCGGACTCACAGTCCGCGCTGCCTCACAGTTGCAGGTCCATCCCGTCGCGCCCCCTCCACGCCCACCCTCGCCCGTTCCCCCCCCCCCCACTCCCCCGGCCTGAACGGCCCGCCCGCACCTCGGGCGAGAAGGGAAACCATCCGGGAGTTACGAGCGCACGCCCCCCCACCCCCGCCCGCGCGAGCAGGCTGGCGGGGCCTCCGACAGCACGCCATGAGCCTTTGGAGGGCGCGCGGATGCGCTCTCCTTCCCCTCCTCCGTTCGTCCCTCCCTCTCTCCCTCTTGGCCTGCGCGGAGCGGGACGCCGAGGCCTGCGACAAGCGACTCACCCTCACCCTCGATCTTTCCGCCCACCTCCGCTCCTCCTCCTCCTCCTCCTCCTCCTCCTCCTCCTCCTCCTCCTCCTCCTCCTCCTCCTCATCATCATCATCATCATCATCATCATCATCATCGTCCTCCTCCTCCTCCTCCTCCTCCTCCTCCTCCTCCTCCTCCTCGGCATCCTCCTCCTCCTCTGCCTCCGTGCCCGACGGGCCGGGCCTTCCACTTGATGCCTTCCTCGCAGCGTATCTCTCGAGGCTAAGAGAACCCAACGAAAACACAAAACGGGGGCGGCCGATGTTATAAATATGTACAGTCGTGGCGCTGACCCAAGGAACCCTAGATAAGGAACAAGGCCCCTTTTCCCCAAAAGTTGATCTTCGATTCCCCATGGAAAACCTTCGGGAAACCGAAGGCAAACTGCACAACGGTCAAGGAACACCGAGCCCCTCCCCGACGAGAAGGGTTCCTTCTTCAGCGCCCCGACTGTCTCTCGCCTGCGCGCCGCGCACATTCGTCTTCAAAGTTAGTTTCCAAGAAGCAGATGGATGAAAGGCGGGTCGCTTTCAAAATGCTGCCCTCGCCTTGGCACCAGGCACGTTCTTTCTTGAAGCTTGCAACAGCTGCACGGATGGATGGCGGTGTTCCAAAATACGGATCTCGCCTGAGACTCCCCAAGTATGAAGACGAGAATTTAAACATTCACGGATGGAAGGCGGTTCCTTTGCAGGGTGGGGCTCTCACTGGAAACATCACCATGCTTCAGGGGCTCCTGGTTCTGATGGGTGCAACCTATGGGGCGGTGACTTTTCAAACCGACACCCCCGCTGCACACTTATTGAAAATTCGCAACGTACGGCCTGCCCCTTCGCATTGCTTGAAGCTGGAAGGATGCGGCGGGAACTTCGCTGACGAGTTTTCCTCCTCTTACCCTTCCCCCGTTCCCTACTCTTCCTCCTGTCCCTCCCCCATTCCCCCTCCCTGCCCCGTGCCCCGTGCCCCGTCCCTTTCCTTCTCGACACCCTTCCCCATCCCACCACCCCTCCCTTCCCAATCTCCCCTCTTCGTCCCCTCCACAATTACTCAATATGAATACTACTCTCCCTCTTCCCCTGATGACGGCCTGGGAGTGTCCGACTCCCCCCCGCGTACTGTTTTTGTTACACACAAGTTTCCCCGGAGTTGGGTTTTCGCCCGCTTTTTTCCAAAATGCTGCTCTCGCTGAGGCGCCGGCCTCATTGTCGGGCCCCGCTCGTTCCGAATCGTGCTCCCGCTGCAGAGCTGGCCTCATTTCCGTGCTTCCGCTCGTTCCGAATCGTGCTCCCGCTGCAGCGCTGGCCTTATTTCCGCGCTTCCGCTCGTTTCGACTCGTGCTCCCGCTGCAGCGCTGGCGTCATTTCCCGTGCCATGCCACGGCGTGCAATGCAATGCTAGGTTGATACTACGCTTTGCGGTGCTCTTCTACGCCATCCCTTGCCCTGCTCTACAATGCATCGCGTACCATTTCGGGATCATTGCCCTGCTCGACATCCGACTGTGCGAGTAGAGAGGGGATCTGCGCCATGGTAAGGGATGGGAGGGAGGGGTAGGATGTCAGATATGACGCGAGCGAGCGCACCTAGCTTGACCTATCCCCTCTCATCACTCCCGCAATTCCCCTCCTCATGTTCTCCTCTCCCCTCCCTTCCTTCCCCACCCACCTCACCCAACCTCCCCTTCCAGCCCCTCCTCCATCCCCATCGCCAACCCTCTCTCTCGCTCACCCAGCCCCCTGATGATGTCTCCCCCAATGTGGAAAGCAATCGTTGAACAACATGTTTTTTCATTGGCCCCCTAGATGCTTGCATCTGTACCCTCCGAATTTGAAAAATACGCTTGACCGCTTCCTGCGCGGCTGCCATTGCTCCCCTGCTGAGCCGATGCGTCCTGCGACAACGGCTTGTGAGCAAACCTCCGCTGTCCCCGTGTCTGAGGTTCAGCAATGCCGGAGAGCCTCTCGCCGTCGCTGCGCTTGAGCAGCAGCAGCGGGACGGGGGGGAACCCGCAGCTCCCGGCGGCCCAGGCGGCGCGGAGCTCGCCGGCGAGGTCGGCGGCGCCCAGGCGGAACGGCGGCAGCCTGCGACCAGGCTGCCGTCGGGGCGGCCCCGACGACACCGGCTGGGAGGAAGCTGAGGAGGAGGAGGAGGAGGAGGAAAGAACGAGGGGGGGACATGCAGAAAGACGGAAAGACAGGCAGTCAGGCAGACAGGCAGGCAGGCAGGGGGAAGAGAGGGAGAGGAGGGCAGGCAGAGAGGGAGAGGAAAGGAAGGGGGAGAGCGGAGAGGGAGAGGGGAGAGGGAGGGAGAACGGGAGCAGGGGGGGAGGGCAGGGGGAAAGGGAGGGGGGGGCAGAGGGAGGGCGCGAGGGGCGGCAGAGGGGGCGATGCAGCGGCACCTGCCGAGGCCTATGTCCACTCCGCTCGGGCTGGAGCTGCTGCCGCCGCAGCACAGGAGGCAGGGATCAGCAGAAGTCGGGCCTGTCCCTCTACAGGGGGAATATTCAAAAATAATCAAAAAATAGTCTGGGGGCTATTTTTTGAATATTTGAGGCATCTTTTGAATATTTTCTGAGTATTCTTTTTTTTTCGTCCAAAACCCCCCTGTATGGGGGACAGGCCCGACCTAAGGATACGCAGAAGTCGCGGATGGCCCACCCACCCGCCCTCCAAAGCACCAGAACGTGGACAGGGGGTTGCCGCGTGGAGGTGTGCACCGGACTGACGCCTGCGACGCAGCAGATCTGTCTGTTTTTTGTGTCTTGCCGCAAGAAAATGCCTGACTTGGCGAACTGCTTGGGCGGATCAGCGAAGGCACCGTGTGGACAAAGGAGTACCTCTCACTGAGGTAATATGAATCAGATCTGACCTGTTTTGCGAGATCATCTCGGAGATTCAAGCGACACTTCCACTTTACATTTTAGACAAGAATGGCCAAGCACACCTATGTATGTGCATCGTCGGGAGTCTCTGAATTACGGGTTGAGCGCAGACCTAAACATGCAAGCGCGTTCCACGCCTCACCCCTTGCCATGACAAATCGGCACCAGAGCCAGATTGCAGCGCTGTCCGAGCCCGCTCGAGCTCGCTTGCTGCTCCACCTGGGCCGACCAGGCTTGCTGGGCGGAGACCTTCCAATACGCAGTAGGCCCTGCGGTAGAGGATAGTGTTGGGCCGCGCTGCAAGACAGGGCACGCCATCAGGAGGACGGCGACGACGACGACGACGACGAAGACGACGACGACGACGACGGCGACGACGACGGCGACGACGACGGCAACGACGACGACGAGGACCACGACGAGGACGACGAGGAGAGCGAGTGGTGTCCCTGTGCGGCGTCTGCCGCCGCGGCCTGTCGCCCTGCCCATCGTTGTTGATCACCTCGGGGGCGGGCCCTCACTCGCCACCCCTCCCTCCCTTCCATCCATCCTCCTCCACCTCATAATCATGATCACCACCACCACAACCCCCATCATCATCATCATCATCATCATCATCATCATCATCATCAGCATCATCATCATCATCATCATGATCATCATCATCAGCATCATCATCATCATAATCACCATCATCATCATCATCACCACCACCGTCATCATCATCATCATCATCAGCATCATCATCATCATCATCATCTTCTTCATCATCATCACCACCATCATCATCATCGACCAACACATAGTCATCAGTCGCCATCGTCGGCATGGTGAAGCTCATCATCATCATCATCAGCATCATCATCATCATCAGCAGCATTATCATCAGCATCATCACCACCATCATCATCATCATCATCAGAATCAGCATCATAATCATCATCATCATCATCATCATCGTCGTCGTCCTCCTCCTCGCCGTCATCCTTACCATGACCGTCATCAACAACAACCACAACCACGACTGCAAGTACGGCAACAAAACATAATACTCGCCGCCATCATCAGCATCATCCTCATCATCATCATCACCATCGTCACTATCATCGCTATCGTCGTGAACCTCATCATCATCACCCATCATCATCGTCATCATAAGCAGCATCGTCCTCATCGTCATGATCATCCTCATCATCATCAGCATAATTATCATCAGCATCATCATATCCACCATCATCACAATCATCGCCGTCACAACCGCCGAAATCATCAGCAGCACCACCACCATCATCATCACCATCATCAGCATCATTGTCGTCGTCGCCCTCGTCGTCAGCATCATCATCATCATCAGCAGCAGCAGCATCAACGCCATCAGTATCATCATCGTCATCATCATACTCATCATCATCATCATCACCATCATCAACAACAACATCAACAGAATCGTCATCGTCGATATCATCATCGGTAACGTCGACATCGTCTTCACCAGCATCATTCTCTGCAGCATCATCATCAGCAGCAGCAGAAGAATCACCACCACCACCACCATCATCATCCTCATCAGCATCGTCACCACCAGCGTCATCATCGTCACCAGCATCACCATCATCACCAGCATCATTGTCATCATTATCATCATCATCTTCTTCGTCGTCGTCAACCGCATCATCATAAGCAGCATCGTCGTCGTCGTCGACATCATCATCGTCAACACCATCATCACCAACAACAGCCACAAACATCAGCACAACAATAGCCACAACCACGACTACAACTACAACAATGAAACATAATGCTAGCCATCACCTTCATAATCATCATCGGCAGCATCGTCATCATCATCGCTATCGTCGCGTGTACCACAATAAGCATCATGCCGTTTACCATCATCATAAATCACCATCATCATCAAAACCCTCGTCATGACCACAATCATCGTCAGCACCACGGCCATCATCGTCATCATCATCAGCATCACAACCACCACCATCATCATAATCATCATCATCATCGTCATCAGCATCATCAGCATCGACATTATCATTATCATCACAACCGTCGCAATCATCATCATCATCATCATCGTCATCATCATCATCACCACCACCACCACCACCATCATCATCATCATCATCATCATCATCGTCATCGTCATCGTGATCGTCATTGTCATCGTCATCATCATGATCATCAGCAGCAGCACCATCATCATCATCATCATCATCATCATCAGCATCATCATCATCAGAGACCAACTCATAATCATCAGTCGCCATCGTGGTGGGATAGGCTGGACTGCTTGCCAGGGCACGCCTAGCCAAGTACACCTCTCGCTGGTGCGCGATCTTGTCTTGACACCTTTTGAATCGTCACAGCTCATGTTCTAACGTCTGCAATCAATCATCACCATCATCATCATCAGCAGCATCATCATCAGCATCAGCATCAGCATCGTCATCATCGTCATCAGCATCATCATCATCATCATCACAATCCCTCCTCCTACTCCTGCTTCCTGCTGCGGAGGAGAGGAGGAGGGGAAACAGGTGGCGGAGGAGGCAGAAGACCAGGGGGAGGAGGAAGAGGAGGAGGAGGCGGAAGGAGGAGGGGGAGGAGGAAGAGGGAAAGAACAAGGGAGATGAGGAGGAGGAGTAAGGAGGAGGAGTGCGGATGGAGGAGGGAGAGAGGGATGGAGGCAGGGAGGGAGACAGGGAGGTGCGGGAGGGAGGGGGGAGGGACGGAGGGAGGAAGAGATGGAGGCGGAGGAGAAGGCAGAGGCGAACGCAAAGAAGCCTGGAGGGGAAGAGGATGAAGAGAAGCATGAGAGGGAGACCCTCCCCCTTCGCCTTCCTGCCCTCTCCGCCATTCCCATCCCAGGCCCTGCCCTCCCGCCCACCATCTCGCCCTCCACGGCTCTCTCTCCTCATCCCTACGTACCCTCAATGTCCATCCATCCCATCCCCATGGCCTCCACGTCGCCCGTCCTCTCACTCCTCCTCATCCCTAATCCGTCAGCATTTGTCTCCTCCCCTTCCCATCCCCCCCATTCCTTCTTCTACCTCCAATCCATTGTCCATGAAAGCGGCCCTGGCAGAAACCGGTCCTGGATACCAGCGCTCTTCCACTAAGAGAACGATTGCTCATGCCCTGATCTCTTGTTTGACGGTCCCGTAGCCCGAGAAGGGCCTCGGGACCCCTTTCCTCCTTCATGCTGACTAGCGAAAACAGACCCTTGCAGCATGGCGCCGGGTCACCAGCACGCCCTCTGCGCCAGCCCGCGCCGCACGGAACGCCTTCAGCGAGAAGGGGGCAAACACACCCTCTGGTCCGCCGCGGAGCACGAGAGCCAACCGGCCCCTGAGCTGCTCGCTCTGGCCTCAGGGTCGCATTCCCCTCCCTGGCCTACCTGCTTGCCTTACCCTCGCTGCCTCCCTCTCTCCATCCCCCTCCCTCCATCCATCCTCGTCTTCTCTTCCTCTTCATGCGCCCTCACGTTCCTATTCCCTCTCCTCTTCCTCGTTCTGCACCATCCCTGGTGGCCTCCTCTTCCTCCTCCTCCTCATCATCAGCATCTTCATCATCATCATCATCAGCAGCATCATCATCATCATCATCATCATCATCATCATCATCATCATCATCATCATCATCATCATCATCATCAACATCATCATCATCATCATCATCATCATCATCATCATCATCATCATCATCATCATCATCATCATCATCATCATCATGATCATCATCATCATCACCATCAGCAGCATCATCAACACCAACAGCATCAGCATCAGCATCAGCATCAGCATCAGCATCAGCATCAGCATCATCATCATCATCATCATCATCATCATCATCATCATCATCATCACCATCGCCATCGCCATCACCAGCAGCATCACCACAAATACTGATCGTGATCTTCAGCATCAGCAGCACCATCATCCTTCTGTTGACCCTCCTCCTCCTCATCATCATCACCACCACCGTCATCATCATCATCATCACCACCACCATCATCATCACCACCACCATCATCACCATCATCAGCATCATCATCCTTCATCATCATCACCATCATCATCGAGAGAGAGAGAGATAGAGAAAGAGAGAGAGAGAGAGCGTGACCCAACGCCGCTTCACTGTGGAAAGTTCCCGCCCCCTCTTCCTCCAGAACCCGGCTCCCCGCCCCCCAGAAAACCGAGGGGTGCCACTACCGGTTCGAACCCCCCCCCCTCCCTCGCCGCTGGCAAAAGACTCCAGGGTCCCCACCACCGTCCTCACCACCGCCCTCACCACTGTCCCCACCACCACCGTCCCCACCACTGTCCTACTGTCCCCACTGTTCCCACCACCATTGTCCCCACTGTCCCCACCAATGCCCCCACCAGTGGTGGAGGCCACCACCATCGTACTGTCCCCACTGTCCCCGCCGCTGTCTCCACCACGGTCCCAGTCTCCCCACTGTCCCCACTGTCCCCACCACTGTCCCACTGTCCCCACTGTCCCCTCCACTGTCCCACTGTCCCCACTATCCTCGCCGCTGTCCCACTGAGCTGTTCCACTGTTCCCACCATTGTCCCACTGTCCCCACTGTCCCCGCCACGGTCCCACTCTCCCCACTGTCCCCACTGTCCCCACCACTGTCCCACTGTCCCTACTGTTCCCACCACTGTCCCACTGTCCCCACTCTCCCCACCACTCTCCCCACTGTACATTGTCCCATTGTCCCGACACCGTCCCCACCACCGCCCTCATCACTGTCCCCACCACCACCGTCCCCAGCACTGTCCCACTGTCCCCACAAGTGTCCCAGTGTCCCCTCGCCACTGCCACCACCATCACCGTCTCCACAACTGCCCCTCTGTCCCCACTGTCCCCACCACTGTCCCACTCCCCCCACTGTTCCCACCACTGACCCCACTTTCCCCACCAGTGCCCCCACCACTGTCGCACTGTCCCCACTGTCCCCGCCACTGTCCCCACCACGATCCCACTCTCCCCACTGTCCCAAGTGTCCCCACCACTGTCCCACTGTTCCCACTGTCCCTACCACTGTACCACTGTGCCCACCGTCCCCACCGCTGTTCCACTGTGCTGCCCCATTGTCCACACTGTCCCAACCACTGTCCCCACTGTTCCCACTGTCCCCACACTCTCCCCACTGTACCACTGTCCCACCACCGTCCTAACCACCGCCCTCACCACTGTCCCCACCACCACCGTCCCCACCACTGTTCCACAGCTGTCCCCACCACCACCCCTCATTGTCCCCACCACTGTTCCACTGTCCCCAGTCCCCACCGCTGATCCCAGTGTCCCCGCCAGTGCCCCCACCAATGTCGCACTGCCCCCACGGTTGGGCGCGGTGCAAAGAGGAAGAGGTCGGGGAGGCGCGGGGCTCTGGGCTGCTGGAGGACCCTCGGGAGAAGGGGCAGGGGCGGTGCCCTGCACGGGGGAAGGGGAGACGGAGCGGTGCGACGACCAAGTGGTCGGGGCGGACGGTGGTACTGCGCTGCAGGGACGGTGCCCTGCGGGGTGGGTGGGGAGGGGGGAAGGGGGGGGGAAGGGGGGGGCGGGGGACAAAATGAAATGGTCGGGGCGGAGGGGTCACTGGGCTGCTGGGGGGCAATGGTGAGAGGGGCCAGGGGCGGTGCCCTGCGGGAGGGGGTGGGGAGGGGACGGGGGGGATTCTGGTGCGACGATACAATTGTAGGGGCCGAGGGATCAGTGCGAAATAAGACGGGCGCGGAGGGGGCACTGGGCTGCCGGGGGGCAAGAGGGAGAGGGGGCGGGGGGGGGTCCTGCGGAGGGGAGTGGAGGGGCGATGGGGGGGGGCGGGTCGCGGCGCAGTGGATCGGGGATGCCCGCCAGGGGCGTGCGCAGCAGGAGGAGGAGAAGGAGAAGGAGGAGGAGGGAGGAGGAGGAGGAGGAGGAGGGAGGAGGAGGAGGGAGAAGGAGGAGGGGCAGCAGAGGAGGAGGAGGAGGAGGAGAACGGAGGAGGAGGGAGGAGGAGGAGGAGGAGGGAGAAGGAGGAGGGAGGGGCAGAGGAGGACGACACAGGGTGGCCGAGGGGGGGTCGGCGCCCCCCCTGCGCGGCGGCCCGACCGGCGGCCGGCGCGAGGCCCCCGCAGCGCAGCCCGTGCTGGTCCTCCTCGCGGGGGTGCCCGCGCCGGGGAGCGGCGCGTGGCGGCGAGGGAGCGGGGAGAGAGGCTGGGCCAGGCCGCCCCCAGCCCTTCTCCTCATCCTCCCCCTCTCGGCTGCACGTAAGAGTGACCCTGGGCAAGCGTGACCTTTGGTGCGCAACTTTTGGGGGGGCGCGAGGAGGCCAAACACAAGCGCGCAAGACGCTACTATCGCATCGCGTTTGGCGACCTGTGGAACCCATTGGGCCCGCACCAAAGGTCACTCCGGCGAAAGGTCACTCTTACGTCTAGTCGACCCCCTCCCTCCCGGTCACCTCCCTGCCCGGCACGTGCCTCCCTCCCCCCCTGCCCCCTCCACTCGCTCTCCTAGCTCCCAGCCCTTCTCCTCATTGCATCACCGAGCCCTCCAGAGAGCCCGCAGTGCTCAAACAGTACTGGCTTGGGCTGCATTGGTGCTAGTCGCAAAAGAGAACGATCGACACCATCGTCACATATCGCTTGATAGTAACAATTCATCCTCCCCCTCCCCCTCCCTCCCGGTCACCTCCCTGCCCGGCACGTGCCTCCCTCCCCCCCCGGCCCCCTCCACTCGCTCTCCTAGCTCCCGCCCTGCCTCGTACTTTCCCCAGTCTCCCGCTCCGTCTCTTCCTGCTGCCCCCCTTCGTTCGACCATCGCCTCGATTATGAACTACGGGTATTGAGGTATTGAGGCCTGCCTCCCTCTACCCCAATATCTTCTCCGAGTGACTACGCCCTCGACTCTCTAATACGTCTCCTCTACTCTCGAAATAAACTCTCATTCTGAACCTGGTCGCAAGAGCCTGGAAGAACTCGAAACCAGGGAATCTGACCTTGCCAAGAGCGCCAAACCAAAACCGGAAACTCGCCTGAAATCGGCCCAGAATCAAGAATCGGAACCCTGGGAACCCAGCCGCCCCCCGAAATCGGCCCAGAACCCAGAACTGACCCCAGGAACCCAGAGCCTGGAACGCGGGAGCCCAGCCGCCCACCGAAATCGGCCTGGTACCTTTTTATAAGTTTTCTAAGTTCCGCCAGGACCCAGTCTTGTCTCATCCAGCCAGTCCTGGTATCGATCCCCCCCTCACCCCTGTCAAATAATAGCATACGGTCCACAAGCATGGGTAAAAAGCTGTGTTTTCTCTCAGATACATTGCCACATAATACCCTGCCAAAAGAATCTCTGATGAGCACATGCGCGCGCAGCCGCGGGCGCATGTCAAAATCACTCACTCGCCACTGGTTTCCTACCAACTTCAAACTCGGCGTTTAGGAATTATGTGTTTAAGTACCAACTTGTCCAACAAACCGTTGCCGTATCTTCGCGAGCGCGAACTCGCTGAAATCGAAAAAACAATCGCATGAGAATACACGGGCCACTTACATGCGCATGTCGAAAACGTTAAACCACCATCGCGCGCTCACCAACTCTGAGAAGTAATACCATACGAGCCACACGCGCGCGTCTCCGCGCGCGCACGCCGAAATTCGTCCCAACTTCCTCAGTTGTCTAATCATTTGATGTCAGAGATGCTGAAACATATGCGACAACCAAATAATTTCTCTATGATACATGTCTGCGTGTTTCTGAAAAGGCGCATTTCCTCATCATCATCATCAACATAAGTGCTACCACATTCGTCAACGTCACCATTGCACTCAGCAACGTCATCATAATCATTATCCGCATCATCATCATCATCATCATCATCATCATCATCAGCATCATCATCATCATCATCATCATCATCATCACTATCAGCATCGTCATCATCATTATCATCATCATCATCATCATCATCATCACCACCATTATCGACATCGTCATCACCATCAGCAGCAGCATCTGCATCGTCATCATCATGATTTATGCTTAGCATCATCACCGTCAGAAGCAACATCACCAAAAACCATCGTCACAACCACCACCACCACCACCATCATCATGATCAGCATCATCATCATCATCATCATCATCATCATCATCATCATCATCATCATCATCATCATCATCATCATCATCATCATCATCGTCATCGTCATCGTCATCGTCATCGTCATCATCGCGATCAGAATCATCATCATCGTCTCCATCATCACCATCGTCGTCAACATCATCACAATCATCACAGTCATCATCAGAATCATCGTCATCATCATCATTATGATAATCATCGCCACCATCACCATCACCGTCGTCATCATCATGAACACCATCATCTCATCATCAGCATCGTCAGCTTCATCATCATCATCATCATCAGCATCATCATCATCAGCATCATCATCATCATCATCGTCATCATCATCATCATCATCATCATCATCATCATCATCATCATCATCATCATCATCATCATCGTCAGCATCATCCCCAATCGTCACCACCACCGCCGTCAACATCGCCATCGTCGGCGCAGTCGCTCTCGCCAAACTTCCGAGGGCTCACTTCCTCATTACCCTCACCAGCACCGTCGCCGTCATCATCGCCAGCATCACCCTTGCCACCGCCATTATCATCACCAACAACTTCATCACCAACACCATCGTCGCCGTCGACATGGCCCCCACAGTCGTTATGAACAGCATCATCATGATCGTCATCGCCGCTGCCGCCGCCCAGCCCAGTTTTGCCAACAAGCTGTGGGTGAGCGGGCGCGATGTTTGCACGAGCGTTGGAAGTGGTCACGCGCGGACGCGATCAAAACCAAATCTGCCTTCTGAGAAAATAAAAACTCCACCCCACTCTCGGGCCTGAACTGGCCCCCTCCCTTCAGAATTGCAGTTCGGATATGACTCTGCCCCATCGTCCGTTTCACAGAAACCATATCATCCCAAATCACCCCGGCATCGACCACCCCCCCACCACCCACCCACCGACCCACCCACCCACCCTCGCCCTTGTCAAATGATACAATGCGGAACGTATGCGTCGATCTAGGAAGTGCTGTCGCTAAAAACCTCTTGCAAACGAAAAGCCCCTACAGGACCACGCGCGCGCCGCCGCGGGCGCGCGTCACTTTCCTGCCGAGCCCACGCATCGTTCACAATTTCAGAGCATGGCCCATCACAAATAGCATTACCCATTGGCTGTGCACAACCTGCGCGCTTCGGTCCTAGTCACGGCTGCGCCACGTTTTGCTGCTCTCGTTTTCGCTCGTGTGATCATCGACGACGACGACGACGACGACGACGACGACGACGACGACGACGAGGCGAGGCGGCGACGAGTGACGACGAAGACGATGACGACGATGACGACGACGACGACGACGATGACGACGACGACGACCGCCACCACCACGACGACGACGACGACGACGACGTCGACGACCCCTGGAGTGGCCCCGAGGTCCGGACAATTTCCATAGGCCCTGAGTGTTTCGTCCTAAATGTTTGACAGTCCCGGGGCCCGTTGGGGGCGTCAGGATGCCGAGAGTTGTCCGGAAGCTTCGGGATCGGCCAGAGTACCTCAGGGCGTCTGGGGAGAGGGCTCTTGGGAGCCTCTTGGGGCCTCCTGGCGGCCCCATGCGGCCCGCTTGGGTTTTTGTTTCGGGGGCTCTTGAAGGTTTCTTAGGGTCTCCGGGGTGCTTTTTGGGGAGGATGGCTCGAAATGTCGGGTGGGGTACCCCTCGGGGCTGTGGGGAAGCTGTCCCGGGGCCCTCTGGGACCGTCTTGGGGGCCCCCTGGACAGTCGAGGGCCCCTCTTGAGCCGTCTTGGAGGCCTCTTGGAACTCTCTTTGGCCGTCTTGGGGCGATCTGGTCGGCTCCTGGGGCCGTCTTCGACGCGGTCGGCGCCGAAGCGGCGAATACCGTAAAAAAATACTTTTTCTGGAGGGAATGGGGCCATTTTTGCTTCTGGAGGCGCTCTTCAGAGTCTTCTTGGGGGACTCTTGGGCCGTCGTGGGGGCTCCCGGAGGCCGTCTTGGAGCCATCGTCGGCGTGTTGGAGCGACAATTTGGGGATTCTGGGCCCTCGTGGACGTTTGGAGACCTCCTGGGACTCTCGGGTTGCATTTCGGGGCCGTGTGGGTCTGTCTCGGGGGGGGCCAGAGGCCCCCCGGGCCTTTTGGGACCGATGGCCCCCCTTAAGCTGTCTTGGAGGCCTCGTGGAACTCTCGTTGGCCGTTTTGGCGCGTTCTTGTCGGCTCCTGGGGCCGTCTTCGACGCGGTCGACGCCGAAGCGGTGAACATCGTGCAAATGGACGTCTTCTGAAGGAAATGGAGCCATGTTTGCTTCTGGAGGTGCTCTCGGGAATCCTCGTGGGGGACTCTTGGGCCGTCGTGGGGGTTCCCGGAGGCCGTCTTGGCGACCTCTGCGGAAAAGTGCCTGGGGCTGCCGCGCAGCGTGGGGATGCAGAACAGGCTGCATGGGGAGAAACGTGGACAAAAACTATGGGAAAAGCAAGTGTGTGAGCTTTGGGGAGCTCTCCTCGGAGCCGCTAGGAGGCCTGTGGGAGACCTGGGGCACCAAGCGGCAGCAGCCCCTGGAGCTCCGTGCAACCTCTTGGGGCTCTGGTGGCTCCCAGCCGCCGAAACCTTATAAAAACACTGGGGAAGTAAGGCCCCGGGCCCCCAATACGCCGCCGAGGTCCCTGGGCGGGACCCGCCTGGCTACGTCCCCCGAGGCTCTGGTGACTCCGGGTGGCCGAAACCATTTTTAAAACACAAGGAAGTCCCCGGGGGCTCTGGTGGCTCTGGGTGGCCGAAACCGTTTAAAAACATAGGGAAACTAAGGCCCTGGGACCCCCATAACCCCGCCGAGGTCCCTGGGCGAAACCCCCCCAGCCACGTCCCCCAGTAAAATCGTGCAAAAGCACCGGGGAAGTAAGGCCCCAGGCCCCCCATGCGCCGCCGAGGTCCCTGGGCGGGACCCGCCCGGCTACGTCTGGTGGCTCCCGGTGGCCGAAACCATATAAAAACATAGAAAGTAAGGCCCTGGGCCCCCCATACCCCGCCGAGGTCACTGGTCGGGACCCCCTTGCCACGTC